AAAACAAACAACTGCATCTTCACTGAACATGTGCAGAATTCCTGTCATTACCCCTTACCATTACAGTACAACTATACCCCTAGTTCTTACATTCTGTTAGGCACTAAAAGTAACCTGAAGATAATTATAAGAATAAGGGAAGATGTGTACAGGTTGGATCCAGATATATGTGGGCCCTGGAAACAGTCCCCTGAGATACTACAGGACAACTGTACGTGTGTGTGTGTGTGTGTGTTCTCAGAGCTGAAAGATGTCTCACAACTTTTACTGTGTCTCAGGAAAAGATTTCTGTGCGGACCTGAATAAATGTAAGTATTCTTTCTGCTCTAAAAAAAATGGGTTCCAATACAAATGATCACTTCTATTTTCATTTCTGGCTTTGGGTAACTATGAGTAGAGCACATTTCATTAGTTTACTGAGGTGGAGAATTGCAAGTTCAAGGTCAACCTCATCTCTACATCAGGAGTTTGAGGGCAGCCTGGACTCCAGCATGAGACTGTCTCAAAAAGAAAACAAAAAGCAAATTGATAGTTTCTTGGTCTCCAGATTAGTAACAAAAATGGAATAAGTTACTGGGACCTTGAAAGAATTTAATGGTGATTTCTGTTTTGTGAAAGCCAATTTTGATGACTAGTATAGTCAACATCATTTCACTCAGCAAAAAGAAAAGCACCAGTTCCGTCCTTACGTTTACCTCCAAAAATAGAGCTGTCTTTTCCATCTCTAAACTATCAATCCACGCAAACGAAAAATTGCAAACCAAACCTCCAGATGTCATCCTTGATTGCTCCTTTATCCCTGGTGCCCCAGTTGTACCCATCAAAAAGTCCCATCAGTTCCACATCCAGAATCCACCCTACATATGACTCTCTCTATCTCCCTGGTCACCATTCCACCCCATTCTGCCAGCACCTCAATTCAACAACTGTAAAAGCCCACCTAGTGTTCCTGCTTCTACTGATCCAAGTGCAACATAAAGCAAATATGTTCACACTTCACCTGTACAAAACCTCCCACTTTGAAAAAAAATCTGTATGCCTTCTGTGGTTTTCAAGACACTGCCTTTCTGGCTCCTGGGACTTTTTTGTACCTGACTACACTTCAACCCTCATTTAAGACATGCCTGTGCTCCTCCAAGTCCCTTTGAATGTATGTCACACCTGGCCTCATGGGTCCTCAGAGAGGCCACCTTCTGTATTCAACCCTACCTCATCCCATTCATTCTGGAATATGACGTGGGTTTTCAGTAGACTGTTAGTATATTGTCAGGTCTATGATTCCCAGGAGAGAGCCAGCACATGCTCAGGATGCATAGTTATAGCACTGAACTGCAATTTTTTCTTTAGGCAGTGCTGGGATTTGAACTCTGGGCTTTGTGCTTGTGAGGCAGACATTCTATCCCTTAAGCCACAGCCACAGCCCAGCACTGGACTGCAGATGCTTGATTCATTTTTCGCTTACTGTATTTCCTTCATAGCACTTATTAGATAGACATTAACCTACGCCTTTGTTTGTTTTTGTTTTGTCATTCCTCACTCTGCATAGGATACATATCTTGGGAGCACAGGAATATTATTACTTTTGTCTCTAACATATCTCAGAAGCCTAAAACATTACCTGCGTGAACATCAAGAAAAGATGAATCTCCAAGAAGCCTCCCAAGCAGGCAACAGGATCTGAAATTCAGAATGGAGTCTGATAGCCACTTGCTGACTGTGGGATCACAGGTGTATTGTGTTTCTGGGAGAAACATTCAGCGAGCTTGGAGATCCTTGCCCAGCCCTGTTCCTGCTTCCACAAACAGCCTCATGTCTTCTCAGTGTTTCCAGAAATCCGCCAATGGACAGAAATGACAGTCATTTGCTCATTCAATCGGGAATGAGCATGGCTGCATTCCTTCATTTACTCAAAACTAACCAATCAGGATTGAGCACACCTATCACTTGCATAAGATGATTGAAGTGGGAAACCAGGTGGAAACTTACATATGCCATGTTTTGTCCCAGTGCAATTTCATTTTGCAGCAAAGCTGCCTGTTCCTGGCTTGAAAATTATTCTTTTCTTTCTTTCCTTCTTTCTCTTACATTTTATCTATCTATTTAAGTATTTACCTATTTATTTTTTGAAACAGGACCTCAGTATGTAACCCATGTTGACCTTGAACTCATTATATAGCCTTGACCAGCCTTGAACTCCTGAACCCCTGCCTCAGCCTCCAGAGTGCTGGGATTACAGTCCTGTACCACCATGACCAGTTGATCTTTCTTTCTTTCTTCTTTTTCTTTTTTTTTTTCCTGTGCTGCTATGGATGAAATTCTCAGACCTCATGCATGCTAGGCAGGTGCTGTACCACACAGCACACTCCCAGCCTCCCCTTTTTCTTGAATTATTTTAAAATGAATTTTGTTGACACCTGACATGTGGAATGTATTCCCTAAACATCTGTAGACAAATTACCAGGATCACTCAAACTATTTGTCTTGTAAAGTTCTTAAAACCTTAAGCAAGTTTAAATGTGAGAGAAAATGTGAAGTCATTTCAGATTTCTACAGCACTATAAACCAAAATGGTAGGCTCTAAAAATATAGGAGATAACATTGCAGCAGAATCAGAAGGCTAAACTGAAGTAAGCCAAATCATAAACTACATCAGGAAGATCCATATCAAAAGTACTTTTACAAGTGTAAATAGAAAGCTGAGAGGGGAGGATGTTGTCAGGATAGGAAGCAAAGTTACAAAGCCAGGGGTAGGAAGAGTGCCAAGGGTGAGCTTATTCCAACAGGCTGCTGTCTTGAAGAGCAACTGTACTCAGGAGAGCTGTTGGTTAGAAATGCTCCTAGCAGCTATTTTCTGGAAATCAGCAGAGACTAATGATCTGAAACTTCTCTCTCCAGAGATGAGCACAGTCCTTTCTAGTCCCCATTTGAGACCTCTTCTTCCTAGCCTCTTGTATTGTTATTGCCTCTGCATTTCAAAAAGGTCCTGCTATGTATCTGCTAAGTATATGGAACTGCTACGTAAGAATGTAGAACAATGCTTCTTATGAGAAAACCTTTAATTTCTTTGTTTTATGTTCAGTTTGTGCTGGGAGTGGAGAGGTAGTAGAAAGACAAGGAGTGTACTAAGGAAAAAAAGCAATCACACCAAGTAAGGGAAAGAAATTTCCCATTTTAGGAAACTACTGTGTGCAGTATTAGGAGATTTGTGTGTGTGTGTGTCTGTGTGTGTGTGTGTGTGTGTGTGTGTGTATGTATTTGTTTTTTACTCTTTACGCCATACCCAGCTGCCCTCCAAAATAATGTGGCTAAAAAGATTTACTAATCACTTTAACACAAGAATGAAGTAAAGTAAGTTGGAAGAATAACCACATTAGTTGATTTTAAAAAAGAGAGAGAGGGACTGGAGTGGTAGACCATTTTATAGCATGCTTGAAGACCTGGGTTCATCCCTAGACCACAAAAATAAATAAATAAAATCTATTTAGAGAGAAGGAAATAGGTTTTCCTATTCTTTTCAGTTTATTCCAATCCCACATTTATTGAGTGACAAGACTGTGTACTTCTGAGCTTTAAAGAGGAAAGTTGTTAACTGGGGAAAAATTTCAGCCAAAAAGCAAATGCTAGACATAGCTAGTGTTTCTTTTTGTACCATATTTGTTATAATTCCAACTTACCAATTTGATTTATCTTCCAAAACACAGCTCTACAACATGACACACCAGAGTCCTCAGTGTGTCTACAGTAACACAGATCCCTGGTAGAGTTGAACGGAGGAGAAAACTTTAAATTACCCAGTGCTTCCCAAAGGAGGAAAAGATCTACTTAGTAGTGATGGGTCACCATGTCATTTAAAAAAAAATTACATAAAGAAAAAATTTAATTAAAAACTCATAAGATGAAAACTTCAGAACCACAGCATATAATGGAAATTTTCCTTTCAGAAGGGAAAAACAAAGATCTCAAAATATTTTATGTGATTTAGTTTTCTGAAGCTGAAGGGAGATCAATCACAGGTTGTAACAGCTAAGGAAGAAGAAGAAAAGCAGGCAAATATAGACACTATTATTTTCTACCACATTTTAACCTGAGCCTCTGTTCATTTTATTGTCTTTAAAACTCTTCATTATTTCATTCCCCAAACTGCAGCACACATGTTGAAGAAGGCTGATAAGAAGAACAGTCGGCAACACTGGAAAAACTAACTAACCCACAGGGATGAGAACCCATGGCTCTCAAATTCTCAAATACTGGGCTTTGCACAGTGAACCAATCAGACCTTTCAACTTCTGAGACTCAGTCACATAGGAGGATTCTTACATTTCTGGTTTTCTAGGTAGGTACTCAGCAGAATCCACATCACATACATACCACATACCTGAGAAAGATTAGAAATATTGTCTTGAAAACGGCACTCCAGCTGTGCTGATGCTCATTTTGAATCATGAACGTGCCTCTTCCACATTGCGGGTGGGAGCAGACAACAGTGTGTCAATGAGTTAGGAATGCACTGAAATAGCCTTCAGGGCCCATGAAACCTGTGGCTCACTGAGAATAGTATTTTGCCCTTTGGAGCTGCTTCCGTTGGAATGCCTAACAGGCAAAAGTCAGAAATATTGACTTAGAACCACTTTGAACTCATTGCTAGATGGGCTGGGAGTGCAGCTCAGTGGAGAGCATTTGCTTATGCATGGGTTTGATTACCAGCACCAAGAAAAAAATAATTAATGTAATCTTAAAATCATGGCTGCTTAGAGATGGCTAGAAAGCTCCTGAGTAACCATCTGCTAAGAAAAGGAGATTTGGCAAGTATACTTAATGCCCAAGACAAAAGAAAAGTGTTGAAGTAGAAACAGACCTATGGAGCAGCTGAGTGACCCAGGGGAAGGAGACTTGCATCACATGTTGTTTTCAAGTTACAGGTGACCTGGCACACACACACATCACAGCTGCTGCTTCAACCGCAATCCATCGCACAGACAGAGGCGGATCCACCTACTTACATCAAATGGAGCTGAACTTGACCCAGCATTCTGACTGCATGGTTCCCTGAAGCAGTCACTAAAAGGAAGTAGAAGGCCCATGGCGATGATCCGTGAGCAAAATTTCTCTGCTTCTTCTGGAGGCCCATTTTCCTGCTGGCTAAACAGCTTCTCCAACAGAGTTCTCCCTGCATAGGAAACACAGTCATTAGGAGAGAGGCTGGTGGATCACCTAGCTCAGAACTCTCCAGAGAGATGAAAGTAAACACCACCAGTGAGCAACTCGGTTTCCAAGGCCATTGACCTTCCCTGAAAGTAGTCTCTCAAAGGGAAACTCTGCAGGCTGGGGCCAGACACCATATAAGAAAGGGAGGTGAGGTACACTCTCCCTTCCCCCAATACCACCTGCAGAAAAAGAGAATGGTCCAAGTTACTGGCTATACATCTTCCATCTGGATGATGAAAACCTCCACTTCCCTTTGGATTTAATTAGCAATCCTCCCTTCTTTTCCACTTACCCTGTAGATGATTCTCTAAAGAAACAGGTGGGAACTCAAAAGTGCCATCGTTTGGGTCTAGAAATATCAGTGATTGACATTCCCTGTCTCAGACCTGACAATGGGGAAAAGCAGGGAGTGAGGAGACAAGAAGGGCAAAGGCAGCAATTGCTGGCCAGCAAAACAAGTCACCCAGAGAGAAGAGAGAAACCCAAATGTTTTCAGATGCTGCACAGAAATATAACTCCAGGGTCTAAGCATTTTTATTTCCCTAAAAGAGATGACAGGAGAGAGGTACAATGAGAAGACACTGGCTAAGGACCCTTAAGGATCAGGGTCCCCAGCATACAGGGTTCTCAGTCTTGTCTGTGCTTTAGGATCACCTGGTAAGAACAGGATTGCAAGCCTGGGCTCAGCATTTTATTGGTCACCCATTGATTCTGAGGTTAGCCAGAGGTGACAGACATAGGCCCAGTCCCAACTATTTTTGACACTAGTAGTTCTCTAACCCTCAGAAATTTATGTGGCTTGTTTTCACATTCATAAACCACTGGAGAGTAGACAGAAAATCTCTAGGGTCCCTTTCAGGGCTACAAGTGTTCTCAGTTCTTGCCCTCCTGCTGCTTTCCCTCCAATTAGTTGATTCATTTTTCAACTTTAAGTCAAATCACTTATCCAGAAAAAGTCTTTTGTGACCTCTTTCTGCACCCCTTTGAAATGCTTTATAAAGCTCCTTTATGTAATTAACCATTTTACTTAATTAATAGGTTGTGATACCTTCTTTGGAAAATGCACTTCCCTGAAATATCTACTTTGGCAGTCCTGGGAATGCAACCTGGGCTCTTGCACATGCTGGAGAAGTGTCCTACCTCAGTACTACATCCTCGGATCGACATCGCAAACATAAGCGTGCAATTCTCATGCCTATTTTCATCTATAAAACATAACTAGTCCCAAAGTCTGCCTTTAATATTTGGAGCAACAAAGCAAGAAAGAAGAGGCCTCTATTTTCTCTGTTCCTTCAGGTCATTAGAGAATGTTCTTGGTCCCCCAGTACACTTCTTTGAAAGAAATAAAGAATTTTCCCCATACAGAACTGAAGTTTGCCTGTTCCTAACTAGAACTAAATACGTAGAAAACCACCCTCGCCCCTCAATTTTCAAGTGATTAATAATCATAACATTACATCCATTGAGCACATATTATGAAATGATTGAAAATAATCCTAAAACTACCATAGTTCTTTTCTACAACTCAGACACTTTATGACAAGAAATGAGGGAAATGGGATCTTGCATACATGTAAATGCGACAGAGTAAATGTGTATGTGTTTATCAAGCCAAAAATTATCAAAGGGATTACTGAACAATGTGGAAGAAAGGGAAATAAAACCTGCTGTAACTCCAGTTCTAGGAGAAGAAAACACTGTCAATCATTTTATCCAGAGTTTCCCTACCATGACACTATTCTATCTGAACCAGGTAATTCTGTGCTGTGAGTGATAGGGGCTGTCCTGTGCATGTACCAGCAGTCCTTGTCACTGCCACTAGAGGGCAATAGAACAACTACCCCACTTCCAGGTGTAACAGCTAAAAATATCTCCAGTCAGAAGTCCATCATAAAGCACAGATCCCAAGTTGAGACTGCTGCCCTAACCTCTTTCTAAGGAGAACATCACTGCCTTGCATTAACAGTAAATCAGCTGCCCCTTGAAGACCTTCTGTTCTTCAATCCTCTCAGGTAGAGGCATTTTATTTCAAATCCCACATGTTTGTGGGATAGGAAGTGAGTACCTTCCTTGATCCCCAGAAACACTTTCAGATTACTTATTCTCCTTCAAAACCATCAGCTCCTTTGAAGACACCTGGCAGTGGCTAGGCCACCTGCTATCTCTTTCTTTCTGCCACCTTCTAACCTCTTGACATTCCCCCACCCCGACATTCACTAAATATTCAACACTTCAACTCCTGGCTCGTTGTCCCACTTTCCACCTGTACCTGTATTTTCCTCAGTGGTTTGACATCCACACTCAAGATGCCTCTGAGCCCTTGGCCCTACATCTTACCAGCATTTCCCCAATCCCTCAAAAGTGACCCATTCCCACGTCTCACCCTGGAGCTGATCATCACAGGAACTCTCTCACCTCAGGAGATCAATTCCAAAGCTTACTCCAAATCCTCCAGTGTAGGAGGCAGGAGTAAAGGCAAACTCCTCTTCATGCCCCTTTGTCCTCTCCCCATCCGTCTCTCTGCCCTCCCCCACTGGACTTCTCCTCTTGCTGGGATGCACTCTGTTCTCCTCTCCAGCTTTTGCGGTAGTGCACTTTTACCCCAGATATCCTAATGACTCACTCACTCCATCTCATTCTGGTCTCTGCTCAACAGTCACTTCCACTGAGAAAACTCCCTCAGCACCCTTTCTAAAATAACACTTCCAGCTGGGCACAGGTGGCTCACACCTATAATCCTAGTTATTCAGGAGGCAGAGATCAGAAGGACCACAGTTCAAACCCAGCCTGGGCAAATAGTTCGTGAGACCCTATCTTGAAAAAGCCCATCACAAAAAAAAAAAGGGCAGGTAGAGTGGTATAGGCACTGCCAAAAAAAATAAATTAAATAACATTTCCTGTCACTTTTTTTCACCTTATTCTTCTTCAGAGCTTAGTCCTTGAATTTAGGTAAGTCTGTGGTCTGTCACCTCCTGGTGGACTGTAACTCCATTTGAGTAGGCTTTGGTGTTTGTTTACAACCTTTTACCCAGGACCTCAAGGAGTGTCTGACAAAAAGGCAATGATAATTTTTTTTATCATAAATGAATCAATGTATGTACAAATGCCTGGTTACAACATCTAATTTCTGATCACTGCTTTCTATCCTTTACTTTAGAACATATTCTAAAGCTCCATCTACCACATCAACCTTGAACCAAACATCCCTACCACTGTTGACTTTGAACTAGTCCCCGATACTGTCACAGAATCCCTCACTCCTCCCGTGCCATCACTTTCTTCCTTATCACCTTAAATTCCACATTCTACCACTATGATAAAATCTTACAAACACTTCAGCTCCTCACTCCTCTCTCCTGCCATCACACTGGCCTTATCAGGCCACAAGTTGTTTCAGTCCAACCATCCATCTTCTCTTTGCCTGCACCTGAGCTACTACTGAATATGGTAAAGAAAGAAATAAGTTGCCTGTTTTCACATTAAGACGTCAATTAAGTATAGCACTGCACTGTATTCTCATTTAAACTTCCACTTGTAATTAAATGCTATCATTCTCCTACCTGCCAACTCATTTTTTCCAATGATGATATGGTGATCTCAAGTAATTTGCTAAAAAGCAGAGCATGGTGCCAGACACCTGTAATCCCAGAACTCTGAAGGCTGAGGCACGAAGATCGTGAGTTTAAGGCCAGCCTGGGCTATACACCAAGTTTGAAGACATCTTGGATTATACAGGAAGACTGCCTCAAAAAAAAAAAAAGAAAGAAAGAAGAAAAAGAAAAAAAAAAAAGTACCACAGCCAGGCACCTGTAATCCTTACTACTTGAAAGGGAGAAATGAGGTGCATTGTGGTTCGAGGTCAGCCTAGGCAAAAAGTGAGACCCTATTACAAAAATAACTAAAGCAAAAAGGGCAAGTGTCATGGCTCAAGCAGTAGATTGCCTGCCTGCCAAGTACAAGGCCCTGAGTTCAAACCCCACTACTGCCAAAAAGAAAAATTTAAGAAATGAGCAAAATGGAAGAATCTGAGATAAACTGCATGTATATGAATACACCTGCACCCATACCCTTGCCTTCTTCTCAAACTGAAATAGGCCCTACAGCAAACAAAAGCAAGTCCTTCCCTCCTGTTCTAAATGGAAGTCCTTGCTGCATGCTCAGAACCTCGCTTCTTTAGCTATCCCTCCTCTGCTGAATACCTTCCTCTTTATTGGTCAATCCCCAAATCACATGCTCTAAAAAATAAACCCCAGGGCCAGGCATGGTGGTTCATGCCTGTAATCACAGCTGCTAGGGAGGCAATGATCATGGTTTGAGGCCAGAATGGGCAAAAATTTAGCAAGATTCTCATCTCAACAAATAAGCTGGGCTCAGTGGATGTGCTTGTGGTTCCAACTACATGGGAACCATAGGTGGGAGGATCACTGCCCAAGGCAAGCCCAGGGCAAAAACAAGGGAAGCTATCCAAAAAAAACCACTAAAAGCAAAAAGGGCTGGGAACATGGCTCACGTGGTAGAGTGACTGCCTAGCAAGCATAAGTCCCTAAGTTCAAATCCCAGTGCCACCTAAATACATACATAATACATAACCAGGCTGGGGGGATGTGAGGCATAGCCTACTGGCATACCAGCAGTTACCTTACTGGCCTTTTTCCTCTGGTATCCCTGAACCTGGACTCAAGACAGCCTGATACCCAGAAATGGCAACCATACTACTGACAGGGGAGTTTCAGGGAACACTTTGGCAATATATGTCAATGATCTCAAAAACCTTCAGCTCTTTGAGCCAGGGATTTAACTTTGGAAAATCTATTCTGGGCAAATATTCAAGGGTATAATCAAAGAGTAATTCATCATAGAATTATTGCAAAGATTAAATGAGACAACACATGTGACATCTTTAGCCTAGTTCCTAGTGCAATAACAACTTGGATTAGTAATACTAAAAAAGAAAACTGAAAG